TTTTCCCATCTTCCCAAGGTCGGCAGATTCGTCCTGGCCTCAGAGGACCAAAGGAGCAGCTCCCCTCAGGGTCTGATTAGGGTTTAGGGTTTAGGATTTAGGGTTTAGGGGTTAGGGTTTAGGATATAGGGTTTAGGGTTTAGTGTTTGGTCGCAAGTAAGGGATTGTATGAGCATAGCCGGAAAGGGGGTTATCAGCAACGCAAGTGGTGATCATATAGGCATGATTTTCAGTGAAGCATATACATATATGCTTGGAAGGTGTGAGCGGCCTGCCTACCCCCTGCACTCAGAAAATCCTTGAACAAGAACTCAAATCTCAAGCGCTACATGTGAACAGCCTAAGCTCAAAAGCAAGGAAGAGCCCTAAAACCCCCGATCTCTGAACTTTTTTCTTTTTCTCAGGTCGTTGAAGCCAAAGTTCATACGTGATCTGAGGCCCGGGAGTGGTACTGTTTACTACTTTTTCTGGGCTGCTGTCAAGGAATTCCAAATGAAGTTACCAAAATATGCGTATGTATGGTTGGATGTTTACGTTACCAGAGTATGGGTATATAGTACGTAGTAAGGTTCCCTTGTTATAGGACTTAGTTTAAGTTCCTGAACATAAGCCCAGTATTTCTCCCCGGTGCTCTGGAGCAAATGGGGGAATAGCCTACAGTATAGGGACTAGTCCAAGGGATCAATTAGGGACTATTTGAAATTTACGTATCTTAAAAGGACACAGAACTTGGGTAAACCTGAACCGAAATGGCGGCTTGTATGACATGTTGCCCCAGAATGTCTTCGTTCCGGTTGCGTGAACTTTTCGAAGTCGGCCAGATACATGCATCTTCTATATGGACCTATCTGCCCTCCCTTGGAGTCCTCTGTTGACACTCCCTCTATCCTAACTGATCGCTGAATCCTGTAGCTCGTCCGGGTTTTGCTGTACTCTCACTACCGGTACCATTTCCATTGCAATGTTACTTACTACTGTTTCTAGTACGACTATGATTGCTACTATGAATACTCCTGCGTTGTAAGTATCGTGCTATTATCCGACTTCACGATAGATTGCAAAAACGGTTGCGCCTTTTTGCTTGAGCCATTCCCTTGTGCTCCCAAGCCCTTGCACCCTGCCCTCGCTTTAGAGCCATGGCGCTTCCCATGAAGAAACAGGACGGCATTGGACGGTTTAGGATTCAGGGATATTTCACTTGATAATGAAAACCAAACAGAGAAGAAATGGAATCTGCAAAAGAACACCGATTCTGCAGATCTTTTTTCCAGAAGTTGGATTCCCCGCATTATACACGTATGGTATGTATACCCCGTTTTGAGCTGCTGCACCCACAAGGGACCTTCACCTGCGCAAATTCACTGCGAGGATAGTCACATGAAAGCTGTTTGATTACGCCAGCATGCCTGCTTCAGATTCGAGATGAAAGTTTAGATTAGGGAAGAAGCCGTTTTAGGAGCAGGGTTTTGGTTCAAGCGGGTTGTGGGATGAGGGTCCAGCGGTTGAGAATGTCACAGATGGATTTAAGCCCTAGAGGTGAGGTGAGCTATTGGGATAACACGTGGCAATATAGGGATAATGGAAATATGTGAACTACTATTTAGGGGTCAGGGTTTAGGTTCAGGGTTTAGGGTTATTTAAGCTTCACTCCCCCCTAAACTAACATCCAACCTGAAATGGGGCCAAAGGGCTATATGAGCTTCTGTGTTAGCTTGTGGGAGAGTAGGGCTTAGGGGAACCCTAAGCCCTTGTCACTCCCAGAATAACCAAGTTGACAGCCCTTGGAGCTTGGGGTCTGGGATTGCGGGCTTAGGGTTTGGATTGAGGGTTCAAAGGCCCTAAACCCTAAACCCTAAATCGTATTAAAGTTCCTAGAGTTCAGCAGCTCTGCAAAGCGCCAAGGAACACGGCCATGAAGAAGGCCATGAAGGCCAGCCCCATGAAGGCCAAGACCATGCAAGCCATGAAGGCGCGCAGCATGCTTGCAATGATTGAATGTAGTTTAGGGTTTAGGGGTTCATTTATGTTATAACGTTCTTCTAACATTCTTATAAGCTCAAGTATCCCTGGCACCAAAGCCAAAGTACTACAAATCCTATGTCGATGTACCCAGAAAGCCGGCTCTAGGCCATTGGGCGCCTACATCACGATGCTACAAGTGCCAACTCCTATTTGCACGTAGGGGCTCAGGGTTGAGAGAAGTTAAGGTCTAAGGATTTGGGGTTGAATGGACCTTCACCGGTGTGGCCTGCGTAGCATGTTCGACACCCTGAGGGTCCAAGGACCCAAATAATAGGATTTCATGTCCCAAACACTGTTCATATTTTAGTATCTGGGCCCTAGATCCTATTGTTTGGGCCCTAACACCCTATTAGGGACATACAGGGAGCCCGATCACGCTGAAACCTGAGCTCGGCAAAAGGAGGTGACGTGACTTCGGCGTGTTACGAGAAGTTCCATACTTCTGTGGCCTCCAAACCCATTATATTGGGGTTATATAGGCTTGTACATGCGCGAGCACTTGCTGCTATGATTTATTATTCCTTCTTCCTCTTCTACTTTGCAGCGTTACACCGCTGCTACCGTCATTTTCAGTACGACTTTCATGCCTGTTGTTACTGCCATTGCCGCTACTGTTTCCTTGGGGCTCGATGCCTCTGAAGAGATTTGTTTTGGGCACTAAAATCTATATCTAGTACCTAGTTTGGTCTGCTTTGACTTTTTGATTGCGAACTAGTTAGGGAAAGCGCGTTGCATGCTACTGTACGGGTTGTTAGCTTAAGGTTAAAGTTTAGGGCTCACCCGAAGGCTCTTGGACCCTGAGAATGGGTCCCAAACCTTAGCACCCAAAGACCAAACCTGATGACAGGGAAACTAGGTGGTATGGGGACATTTAGGGATTAGGGTTTATATCGGCTCCAATCCTCCCAGCCCTGCTCAGAACGGCAAGCTAAGTGTCGCACCTGTAGTTAGGGTTAGGGTTTAGGGTTTAGGGATTTTTGTATCCAGGGTTTAGGATTTGGGGTCAGGGCCCCAAATAGTTGCATTACTGAAATATCTAGAGACCCTATATGATCCTAAACCTTAACCCCTAAACCGAGGGGTTGAAAAAATCTAAACCCCAACATAGCTGTGGGGGCACCATTCCTGAGCATTTTCCTTACCCAAGCTGCAGGAGCAATTGTTTGCGATACGTTTCAAAACTATACCCCTTGTGCTAGTACAGTATGTTACATTATACTATATTATGGCTAGTATTTTATAGAGCCTTTCTTTTTTTTGCCCTGTAGGTCATGAAAAAGAAGAAGGCAGTGTCCAAGATTGCCCACGGCAAGCTGGCAAAGAGCGCGGTCTTCAAGGGAAAGAAGGACAGCAAACAGCTCCAGAGGGTGGTGCCGGGAAGCCTTTCGACTGACACCTTTGCTATGGGGCTAGGGGAATGCTTGTAGGTTTGTCGCATTTTCTTGCAACGCTCTCATAGAGTTTAGGGAACATGGGCATAGCTTATCATTGTTGTGCCTGTGTGAGGAGAAGACGTCCACAGGCCTGAAAAAGTCGGACCTGATGAAGAGCAAGCGCGGAAGGGTTGTGACTAAGAAGCAGCATGCCAAGGGCAAGGCCCTGTTTCAGAAGTACGCCCAGCGATGGCTCGATGCCGTCATGAAAGCTCGCAAGGAGCTGGGCATCAAGGGCTTTTGTGCAATTGGCGGCAAGAACGCCCAAGGGAAGGCGCTTTATGCCAAGGCCAAGGCATTCTATGCTGAGGCCTGAGTGGCTTCAGCAGGGAGGACCCAGCTGCTTTCGTGGTAGTTCATGGAGCAGGCAGTCCTCACGCGAGTTCAGCCAGGCATGTACAGCTGGCGGCTTGATCCACAGTGCAGAGCTTTCCTGAGAGCTCGCTGTGTCAGAAAGCTGCTGTGCGCGGCCTTGTTTTGAACTCTTGCATTTGGTAAAGTGAGCAGAACTGCAACCTGTAACATCGGGCTGCCGTGTAGTGCGCTTTTCATCTTTGAGTCAAGGCCCTAAACGGATTCGAAGATCTCTGTCAGCATCCTTCCTGATGTTTTCAAGGATTCTTTAGATGATGGGTTGTCCAAACTGTTGGTTTCTGGTCGGTACCCTTTATGATGCGGCCCGTGATACTCAGGGTGCCCGAAAGGGGACCATACTTCTGCCAACCCAGATGAGGTTTGAAGTTGTATGAGGCATAGTTATGTCAAGTAAGCTTCCTCGAAGTCTTACCTTTCTTCTCCGATTTATGTGCAGGTACTACATGAGCTGTGAGCTCTAGTCTAAACTCCTGGCAATGTCCTTAATAACCCCTGTAATGCTCCCCTGCACAATACCCTATATAACCCCTTCAACGAGAATAGACAGTAGCTCACATAGCTATAGGCAATGCCCATTTGAGTAGAGAGCTCCGCTACTGCCCTGAGAGAGTGGCATGAGGTCCTACTTTCCCCACGGTGGGGGTTTCCCAAATGTAGGTGTACCTTTTGGGGGTTTAGGGTTTAGGGTCCCTTTTTTGGGTTCCTGACTTGCAGTAAGGTTTATCGTATTTTTGCAGACGTATATTGCGGTCCCGTCATTTAGGAAAGCTGCCGGGTGCCTAGTCATTGTTTAGAAGTGGTGCATGGCCTCCAGAGTTTGTGCGCGCCAAAAGTGGCATCCCACAGGTAGGTACTTAGAGGGGAGAGCTTCGAGAAACCTACGCTGTGGAACCCTAGGCCCTAAACCCGAACCACTGGCAAGGACTTCTTCAAGGCCGTACGATCAGACCCAACAGAAGAGACTCCCCTGAATATTGTTCACCACACCCTGTTGGAAGAAGAGGCCCTAAAGCCCCCTCACCCCCCTTTATACCCTAACCTAAAAATCCATCATCCCAGTTCCCATTTCATCTTCTAGCTGATTCTCTATTATTGCTCCCCTAAACCCTAAACCCGACATACCTTTCAAAAGCTTTTTTTTGTTTGTGCTTCAAGACCTCCTAAACCCTAAATCCTAAATCCTCAACCCGTCTGATGTTTGGGCGCGAGCCTTCCCTGCTTCTCAAAACCCTTTCGCTGCCACCTTGCTTTCCTGAGAGCCATGGCCCTTCCCATGAAGATGCAAGTCAGCATGTATGGCCAGGGATGACGGTTGCGGGTTTAGGGCGGAATGCTTTGGGCGAAGAAGGAGCAAGGCTTGAGGTGTTTTGGGGTACACGTGGAATTACAGCAGGTCTTTTCCACGAAGTTGTCCAAGCTGGGTTCAGCAAGAGCGTGGCTGCGCCCATCGCCACAAAGTTGCAAAAGCTCATTGCATGCAAACAGCTGAGGACCACAGCCATGAAGAAGGCCATGAAGGCGAGCCCAATGAAGGCCAAGGCTATGAAGGCAATCAAAGCCATGAAGGCCAGGGCGAGTAGCTCTCGAATGGCGAATTGCATGGCTTGCGTTCGAGCTTTGGCGCAATCAGTCCGCGCTAGCGAAGTTTTGAATCATGTCGATCTCTCGCATCTACCACACCAGCGTCTGGAGAGAATAGTAACATTCGGTCCGGGGAAGTGTCGTGACATGGGGTGCTGCGAAAGTTAGTGCTGGCAATGTTGAAGCCCGCTGGTCGGTTGCAAGTATCGCAATTGCAGGCTGTGTGAATTTTGAAAGGCTTAAATGAAGGGGGTCTGTTGATTGACTTTGTGTCCTGAGCAGCGCGTGCGTGGAGGATGTCCGCTTGCAGGTTATCTCGGGTCAGGTTGTGGTAATTTCAAAAGTTTACCACCCGCCGCAGGTTATGAAGAAGAAGGCAGTGTCCAAGATTGCCCACGGCAAGCTGGCAAAGAGCGCGGTCTTCAAGGGAAAGAAGGACAGCAAAGCTGAGGGTGGTGCCGGGAAGCCTTTCG